ATGTATATCAACCATCTTTGTCTTTGGGGATACTGAGACATCCCAGAGTGACTAGATCACTTATGTTGTATATATGATTATGTCCATAAATGATTAAAAAGCCCATTAAGAGATCGGTTTAAAATAAAATATATGAGAGCCCGTAAGTTAAAAGCCCCCTATGTATATGCCATGCTGATAGTTATCAGATTTCAACTCACGGTGAAACGATTCTATTGGCGATCTGTCGATTGATAGCTTGAATATATATGATCTCTCTACATTTGGACATTTTATATTATACAAGAGCAGGCACAAAACATTAGCTTTAATATTTAATATTAGCTAAAAGGCCATTTAACAACATCCAGGAGAAAGCACTCAGTGTTAAATGACGATTGCCTATTCCTTAACAGAACAATAAATGTAAATTCTCAATATGTAAAGTCCATCTGTCAAATGCGTGTTTTAGTGAAGTATGTTAAAAGGTATACAATGCATTTACACTGATGGAAAAGACTTTAGTGTACGTCTTTGAAATTTTTATCAGTTCGTTTAAGTTGTAAATCAATCGAGATCGAGAACACAGCTCCTAAGCTTCCCATGGTTGTCCGTGCTCTCTAAACGAAATCGCTTTATCGCTGTCGCCCATCGATCATGATCAGCTTATGTGATAAATAGAAGACATTTCCCAATAAAATACTCAAAAAAACTCTTCTTTTTTCAAACAAAAAATGCCCAAAAGACCAGTCTACGTTTTCGAGTGTTTAACCTTCAACCAAATCGTGTCGGATGCAATATGTGGGACGACCTAAAAGGGCGTTTTTCAATTACATTTCTCCCGAAAAAAGGAATTTTTATCAAACTTAATCCGACTCATGTTAAGCTTCCTCTTTCGTTATTGTTACAGTGTAATGCTATCTGTATTTAGGAGGCTCATGGGTCGCCTTGTGGTTAAAGCGTCCACTAGTCACATCGCAAGCCCGGGTTCGCTTCCACACAAGGGGACAAAGTTCAGATCTGTTGTCCCCAAAGTCATATTACTGGAATATTGCTAAAAGTGTGTAAAAAATCATCACTCTCTCAGGTGTCATTTGTATATGCAGATAAATAAAATCGTAAAACACCAAATAGTTTCTGATCAAGGGACAATGTATGTGTTCATATAAGTGTGAAACTTCCAGTTTCTTTGAAAACCGAAATGACCACAATCCCGATATGATTTTATCAATAACAGCTAGTACATGCAAAACGTATTACAGAATACACATGCACAATTTCATGAATGCTTTCATGCAATGATATAAGTACATATATGCTTATATAAAGTGTTCTTTTCATACATTCCACAGACATGTATGGACATAAATTCAGATTCTTGTTTGATGTTGAAAGAAAACAGAAAATGTTACAACACTGAGATATTAGATACTTGCATTTTAACCATCGGAGAAAGTATAGATGAAATTGACGAGCTTACTGAAACGTGTCAATTTCCATCAAGATGTCACTCCATTCCGCCATCAATCCCATAACCCGAGCATCTGTCCCGCTTATCGCAACATTAGCGGTCTTATGTTTCACCCCGACTCTAGAACCTTAGATGCAGAATGTGAGCCTTGAGACTCGACCATGAATAAATCAGCTGCATCCCCCAGTTTACCAAGAATCAGCCTAATTTGTCAATATCAAATTTACGTCAATTGTTTCGAGAAACATTTATGTTCAATTTCCACATCTTCCAGTCGTATCTGCCAGATCAATGTATACGACCTGTCTTGTTCATTTCAACGTTTCAATCTTTGACATTTGGATGGGACTGAGCGATAATGTGTACACTTAGCTATCTTGATAGGATGAACATTTTAATTTCCTAGTATCGGTTTACATCTTAGGGGAGGTACGTAGCTTTCGAGGGCAATATGTTGAGTTGTCGACAGCTGATGTGGTGTTATACTCACCTGATGCACGCACACTTAGAGACGATGTTTAGTGGTAATCGGGCCAGAGTTAGTTCATGTCAATGCAAGTGACAATATCTGTTCTAACTTGTGACAGCTCCTTCCACAGTGTGGGAATATCCGACTCGACAGGTATGTAGTTTTAACTATACTTTTTTGAAAAATTGTTTGTTTCACCGAAAGTGGCGCCACTTTTTACGTTACAGTGATACAATTAGTCCAGGCAGTCGATGCTTTTTACCGATTCTATTAGGTTTGTTTGTTTTTCTGTATCTTTGTGGCATGTCCAAACGTGAACTTTCCATCCTCAACCGCTGAAATGCTATCAGTTTAAACAACCACAATGTCCGTGATATCTTTTTATATTGGGTCCTGTGACACGATGTGTGTTATACTTGTGGTCAAATAATTCAGTTGTAACGTTTAATGGGAGTTGTTAGTTGATAGTGATGTTTATATAACTAATTAAATTTAATATACAGTTTGATTTTAAGTGAGAAGAGTTTGGCACATTATAGGCATTCATAGTTTCTGTACATGTTGAGTGATTGTGTTTAAATCATCAGTCTTGGCAGTTTGAAATGCATTGGTGGTACCCATAAGTAGGATTTAAGGAATGAATTCAAAATTGATTGTATACGTTCCACCTCGTTTCTAAATATCACTGAGCTTACTTTGCCGTTTCCTGGATCTTGTAAACAATGTTGTGTTATGGTTGGCTCGTGGTTTGCTTACATATTCCTGCTAATGTTGCATTTGTCGATGTGGCGCTGGTGTGTGTGAAAACAGACAATTAGATCTACATAAATAATTCATTCCACTTGCAACAGCTTGACATGCTGTACATCAGCGAGAACACCGTACTCAGTATCAGAAACATCATGCAGAAAGTGAACATTCTTTTGCTCGTGATCCAAATGTCACTGCATCTTGATAACTTCGCTTCTGGAACTCAAGTTAAAACAATAAACTGCTTTTAAGTTGTGCTTGAATAATGTATACATTTCTCGATAAGTCAAATAAAAACCTTCCGGAATTGTCATGAAAGTTTTACTGCTTGTATATCAGTTGTTCGTTGGCTAAGCAGCAAGGGGCGCTGATATGTACAACGCTCGTATCTTGTCTTTATCAACTTGTTCATCGACTTTGACGTTTGCCTCTCTCTCTGATAGCTCTCCACTGTGATAGCTGGTGTATGTTTCTTTCACGAATGAAGCCATATACACAGGGAGTTGACAGCATGGTTTTGTACAGTCATGAATACAGAATATGCTTATTGTTGGGATACACTGCCGTAAGTAGTATTTTCATGCCATGGACATAGTTTCTTGGAGTGGCATTTAATTATTTTGTAGTGAGCTTGTACCACAAATATTCCAATTGAAGAAAACCAGTTTATCGTGCTGAATAACTCTGACATATTGACTCTGTGCTACTTTTGTTAATATTCGAAAGGGTATATAAAATATTTGGACGTTAACTTAATAAAAGCCACTTTAAACTATTCTCATTTTCTATAAAGCGTAACCCCCATTCCCCCCCAAAAAGGGGACTAGAAGGAAAACGTAAAAGCATGAACAATACAAAGAGTTTTGTTCTGGTATGCTTGTGAATACATTCTCACAATCATGTCAATTAATATACACTCCGCTTGACCAAAGTTGCTACACGTAGAATTCCAGCCTGCGACGATGCGAGTGATGGGTAAATTCACAGGTGTTATATTTGCCAGGTAAATGAAATTATCGTGGGACAATAACACCACGTCGGGCGAGGGCAGGTCGCATGATTTGTGTAAAAATACGGCCGTTTACAAATTTACGGTTTGCGGAGCTAGCTGTTGTTCAAATACATCTTGTTTGAAATGCTTGGAAGACCACGTGGGAATCTGAGCCTGGAGGCGACAAATGAACAAACTTTCTCATCAACCTTGCTATTTTACGAAGTCAAAACATTCCCGGAGTTATTTCAAGATATAGCCATAATGGCTGTTTTAATTTTATCACCTTGGGTATCCAGGGTATTGTTTGAACTATTTAGATATTCTTTTGATAAATCTCCGTCAATATCCCAACTTGATCAGTGGTCAAATATTAGAGGTTAAGGTCTTTAACGTGGGCCTTATGTGAAAGGCCCCCTTCACCCTTATGCAAACATTAGGCTTTATGGAGCCTATGATCACCGCGAGAAGCGCTACTGCGGGAAGGCGTCTTGACTTAACAAGAAACAATTTAATCAGATTAAGCCAACAAAGGCTTTTCAGAAATTCAGGGATATGGAGAGACAATGTAGACCGGAGCTTTATAGCCGGTAAACAAATTGATAAGAGATATTTTTCTTAGTTGGGTGGAAAGATCACAGGTTTTCTTCCGGGGGAGACCATGTATTGCATACTAACAGCCCCTATCAGACATGTATCGCGCGTGTTAGCGATTTCTCGAGGCGACAGCGAAACCATAAATGAGAGCGATGGTGTTTTTCAACAGCTCCGCGGGGAATATGTCTGCATATATTTCAACAACAGTGCGCAATAATGTGATTATAAATTCTTGGGTTCAGCGATTGGAATCTTTACCCGCAATGACAACGCTAGTTAAATATACAGAAATTCCGACCAACCGATATATTATACTCTTCATACCCGCGGGCTAAAAGGCTAATTGCCTGACTTGCCTCACCTAGCTTCTGTTCGAGGTCTCCAATGGCTATAATTTCACTCTCCATGAAAAAAATGCCTCATACGGAAAGGAGAAAACTTTGCCTGGGAACTTAATTAAAATGCTGGGATACCGAGTTAGCGATATGACACTTCAGCCGTTGGCCCATCCCTTGTGGAAGATTTAGAATTGGGGGTTCAAACGTCCCCAATTCATTTATGGCACAGGCCAGTCGCTTTTTCCTAATCCCTAGCCCATTTAAATCCCTTTTTGAGGCTAAATTAGTCATATTTGTTACCCTAATTGATAATGACAGGATAGGAGATCCAGTCCCGTGTGTTTTTAATGAGGTTCTGTGATGGCTCACGTGGTTTCATCTAATTTTAGGCTTCATTTGTTTCAGGAGGTGACAGCAATGGTTAACTGAGGACTCGGGGACAGGCATGATGGGAGTTCCCAGGCGGAGTATGCACCTCTGGAACATCTATATTACCCTTGTGTTTAATATTGTGGGACTTCAGTTCAGTTCTGGACAACTGAATGAGATAACGTTTAGGTTACAAGAACAGAAACCTTACGCAACATATGTCGGAAACGTAGCTGTTAAAAGTGACATTGCAAGAAATCTATCCAATGCTGTGTTTCAAACTCTGACGTATAACTTCCTGAATCCAAACAGTCTGCAAACAGCATCTCTGTTCAGCATCAATAGACGGACAGGTGCCATCCATACTGCTGCCATGATTGACAGGGAGACTGTGAAAAGAAGTGACAAAGAAGTGTGTGCATTCTTTGCTGAGTGTGAAATCGAATTTGACGTGACGGTACAAAGTCAGAACACTTCCTTTCTGAAAATCATCACAGTGAAAATGATCATAGAGGACATCAACGATTCCCCGCCGACATTTGTACCCAACGAAATTAAAATTTATGTCTCGGAATCAACGAACGCTGGGTCGAAGATTCCTATAGAAGGTGCAACAGATAAGGACACGCCTGGGCGGAATTCGGTTCAGTCGTACGAGATAACGTCATACAGGGACGTGTTTGACGTCAACTTTGTCCATAAGCTTGACGGGAGCTCAAGCCTCAAGGTGGTCGTTATGAGGGGACTGGACCGAGAGCTGAAGGACAGATACCAATTCACAATTCTGGCCAAGGACGGAGGTACACCTTCCCTTACTGGAACGCTGACCGTCAATGTGGAAGTCATTGACGTCAACGACAACGCTCCCGCGTTTGCATTGAACCGTTACAACATCATCGTTAAAGAAACCACTGCCCCAAACTCAGTTGTTGGAAGAGTCTCAGCTCGGGATAGTGATTCTGGGAAGAACGCCCGGGTGTTGTACCGCTTCAGCACTCTCAGAACATCCAAGATCGAGGAACTCTTCACCTTGGATGAGACTACCGGGCAACTGATTGTAAAGAAACCGCTGCAGTACGAATCAGGGAATACATTTGAAGCTGTCATAGAGGCCGTGGACAAGGGGGAAACACCCCAAGCATCTCAGGCCATCCTGGTTGTCAATATCATTGACGACGGAAACACGCCACCTCGCGTGACTCTTAATCTTGCGTCATCGGTCGTGTACAGTGATACTATACTTTTGTCGGAGGGGTCAAGCATTGGTACATTTGTTGGCAGGGTCAAAGTTGAGGATACTGACCCTGGTAAAAATGGCGATGTCCACTGTTCATCTCTTGATGACCATTTTAGTTTGAACAAACTGGACGCTAATAGTTTTGCCATCCTCCTCTTTAAGGCGTTGGATAGGGAGACGAAGGATAAGCATAATGTAACAGTTGTATGTTCAGATTCTGGAAGCCCGAGTTTGTCAGCCTCTGTGGGTTTCATCGTGCGGGTTACAGACATCAACGACAACGCACCCGTGTTCACGTCTAGGACGTATTTTGCCAATGTGACTGAAAACATCAACAGATCAGTCAACCTGATCACAGTGAAAGCCAATGATGCGGACATGGGTATTAATGGCGAAGTGTCCTATTCTCTGAGCATGGAGGCTGGATCAATGTTCTCAATTGACTCTCACCGTGGGGTCATCAAGGCTAATGGCGCCTTTGATAGAGAAACATTGAACAAAATGACATTTCTTGTGAAAGCTGTAGATCATCATTCTAAATCAAGAACTGGAACAGCTACAGTGACAGTCAATATTTTGGATGTCAATGACAACAGACCCGTGTTCCCTCCAACACCATTCAAGTTCCGTATCCCAGAGAATCTAAGAACCGCCAAGAGGGTCGGACAACTGACCGCTATAGATAAAGACATAGGAAACAACGCTGCCCTTCAGTATAAGACCTTGACCAATGATCCATCCATTCCTTTTGTAGTATTTTCGGATGGTGTGATCCGAACTGAACGCCAGCTTGACCGAGAGATCCAGGACAAGTATACCCTTCACGTGTTCGTCACGGACAATGGTCAGCCACCACTGTATTCAAACGGTACCGTCATCATAGAGGTAACGGACGTTAACGACAATAGCCCTACAATATTATTCCCCAATGATGACAACAACAGTGTCATCCTGATCTCAGACACCGACCCTGCTACAACCTTCACCTCAATTGAGGCCACAGATGACGACATCGGAATAAACGCGGAAATAATGTTCTTTATAACAGGAGGGAACCGTGGCAATGTGTTCACCATTGGGAGAAGCACTGGTGAAATTCGCCTGACGCGATCCTTGACAACAAGTGACGAAAAAGAATATAAGCTGACTATTTCAGCTCAAGATAGTGGTTCTCCGCCACAGGAATCGCAAACATTGTTAATCATTAACGTCAACTATACTAACAATACGATAGCGGCTGATTGGAATGCTGAAAAGAATGCGCATACGTACAGGATCATCGCTGGCATTGTTGGCGGGGTGACATTCATACTGTCAATCTTGATCGTGTCGATCATACTGCTAATACGACGGAATGACAACGCAAGGAGAGACACAGAGGAGAAGATGGGTGTTCAGGAGGAATGCGGCAAAAGGGAGATGGAGAGAAGGATTTGGCAGGAAGTCAACACAGAAGACATAAAGGCTGGCTTTGAGAGAGAAAAACAAGGGGATAAGTGTTATAAACCAAAAATGGACAAAGATCGTAGTTTTACGATTGATCCCGACCGTAACACGAGCGATTCCTTCCTAAGTCACGCCGCCCTGGACCAGTACGGGAAACCTGAGTTCTTTACTTTTAGAAAGGTAAGATGCGAGTTACTATCCTAATGGTACTAATGCAACACACTTGTTTACTGCTGATACTTGAAAATACATTTAAATTTGAGAATCGAACCTAGCCATTTTCATCTATTTTTAGACTGGAGTGCCCTAATAGTTAAAGCGTTAAGAACCGGGTTCGATTTCCCACATGGGTGCAGTGTGTGAAGTCATTTCTGGCGTCCCCCGCCGTCATATTGCTACAAGGGGCGTAAACCCATACTCACCTAGTCACTGTTTTGAGATAGGTAACAGCATCGATATGCAAACGTCCTGCTGATTCACATTTGTGCACGTTTTCAGAAATGTATTCAAATTGTTAAAAAATTAGTTTCGTTGCCTTTTTGTATGTTTTTTATTTGCACCATTTGCCTTGTGCCGTGAGATCGCACGGTAACGCTGACAGACGGCCGTAATGTTCTATACTCAAGAAAGGCGATCAGTGTTGCAAATTTGAAATTGAACCCCAAAACACAACGCAAAGACAATGATTTAAAAATAACTTGAAAATTAAATTATTCTCTTTGGGTTGTCTTATATATCAATTTCTTCCTTTAGCGTGACTGACCTTTTGGCAGCTCGTAAAGATCTTGTTATTGCTTTTCTAAAATCGATAAACTTCATAAAAAAAATGAAATTATCCATTACTGGTTCATTGTTAGTCAAGGCGTAAATACAACTGAACTGCCTTGAGGAAAATAATCATGGAAATAGTACCACCCAAGGTCCCTACATTCATTATTTATACAACTAAATGTCCAGGAGAGAAAATAGAATTCTGTTTCACAGACGGTATTATATTTGATATCAGGATCTCGCCATAAGTATTATTACAAAAATTGAAATGTGATGGGAAGGAATCTTGTTGTGAAAAATATCCCAGATATAATATAGCGAAAAGACCAAACGCATTAACTCAGCTTGAATCTAAAGGTTCAGAATTCTACTGTCGCACCGAATTATTCTGTGACAACATAGGTCTGTATAATCTATATATTATTCATCCTTTGTCATTTACATGTGTGGAAACGTAAGGTGGTGTTAGTTTAAGAGAGTTTATGGAATAGTGATATTAGCTGTGCGATGCTGGATTCAGAGGGATGAAGCATTAAACTTGATGTGAGGAGGTGATACATTATTGACCACCTCACATCAGGTTCTGGCAAGATTCACTATAGTGTGGTTAAGGACAATGTTCCATATCACTCGGGAGCTGTAAAATGCCCAATCCATTTCCTGTCGAACTGCAAATAATTATTCTCTGATTTATTTGAAATCACCAAGTCATAAAACTATGTCCCTAAAGAAGGCATACATTAGCGACATTACTTAAGGACGTCTCGAGGGACATATGATCCTGATAGGTGCAAGCACTAATGGGAATTTAGAGTAAGTGGTCATTGTACTGTAGAGAAGGGCAATGCAATGAGCATGCCAATGTCACAAAGTCTTGTATATAGGACCGTAACGGCGTAATGACCCACAAATTACACTCATACATTACGAGTTGGCATCACCTGGCTGTTTAACTCCTAAGTAAGGCATGGCACATTTGTACAGCTGTACCGTAAAGGCTTTGCGGTCATACTTTGGAAACGATGTTGAGTGGTAAGTATAGATGTCAGTAGAGTAGAGCAGTAGACTCGCGTCATATATGAAACTACCGACCATAAAAAGTACACTCTTGAAAGCTGGGTCAAGAAATACAATTGTTACTAGGTTGTAAACAGACACCGCAAGCTAAGTCCAAAAGCACAGCTGAGATACATGTATGGAATACATCTCTATCGAATAAACATTTGGTATTTTCACTTCTAGCCACCGCCAAACAAGCTGTCGACCCCTTCTTGTGTAGCAGGATTACTTCATCAATGTTTTTCATTGTATTGTTACAGTGCAACGAAAAACGGTTTACCCACGTTACACGAAGGAAAGAAACAATTCCAAGAAAAAACAGTTTGGGTATTAACCGGTCTTTTTATATTAGATCTTGGTCTTGTATATTTGGTCATTTGTCATAAAACAATAATTTGATTGTAGTGCATATACAACCTGCATGTTTGAACACACCCACAGTGAATAATATTAACCTATATTCAGAATAGCAAGTGTTCGGTTATGACAGAATCGATTGATATAAACTGCGTACTGCGTGAAGTAGTAATATTGTATCAATCGTATTTAATTCCCTTTCAGGGGAAAGAAAATATTATTAAAATACATATTTCATAAAGCACGCTGATCGCACGACATATCGTTGAACACAGCGTGATGGCAAAGAGCGTATTTGAACAAACGGCGGAATATATAAATAATTGAATTGTGGTGTCTGTTTGGATGAGGATTATTTCATTATCCTTTCTGGCCGATCAGCAACACCACCGGATTGGTGTGGTAACTTTCGTCGCCTACAGTGGGCATGAGGCTTCAACCTCAGTTCCTCTGCGCCGTTAGTGGTTTGGAAACGTTATAGGATCCCTAGCGTTTATCAGTGATCGCAGACCTGCTCATGGGTGAGCTTGACGTTGTTTAATAAATCATTCATAATTTGATTCCCGATAAGACTATTTATTGCATCGGCTGTAAATATATACGATGTATTTTACGAACAAAGATATGTTATTGATGTATAGCCTACGGAACAAATGGTGCGCTACGAAGCGAAATGCTGGTGGTTAAAGCGTTGCCTCGTAACGTCTATGATCAAGCGTTGGTTACCAACAGTGTAAATGTCTTCATGGTCCCCGTCGTGGTTTTGACCAAGTAGTGTTTTACAACGGCGTCATGCTACACTCACTCACTCACCCACCCAACTCATCCACTCACTCACTCACTCCGTTCATCATACTGAATGTGACGGCTTTCACGAATCACCCATTCACAAGGCGTCTGTTCCATTGTTAAACGGCCTATTGCAATTGTTAAGAAACGCCATAACGCGGGTCCTGGACGAACCGGATCGTGTCTTTGCATTTTGGATGATGATAATGGCGCAGGGTGACATTGTACCCCTGTTGAGAATATCAAACATGTTTTACAACGCGGCAATACCCAAACGCGGCAATACCCAAATATTAACATGACTACTACACGACCAAACTTTCCTCATCAATCTCTCAAATCCGCCCTCCAAGTCCCCCCCCAAAACACCCCTCTTAAGTCCCCCCCCCCCTTCCCTCTTGACCGTTGCCCAGTGTCTCTGGCCTCCAAAAACCCTTGACGAAGTCCATCAGAAGAAAGTTAATAAACGGTCTGAGCCCATAATCTGTGTGTGTCTTTCGCGTGTACATATAACCCCTATTCTGTTTGAAGTGTTTGCTTAAGGAGAGCTCACACACCTCCACGGCACAGCTCCGGCTTCCCTGTTTCATTAAGGAAACTGTCCTAACACGTGAGATAATTACCTCCTGAGATGGCCATAGTCGACAGTAGTGTGTTACCAACGCCTTTTCCATGTTGTTCAAACTACACAATTCACCAATGTTAGGTCGTGGACACGGAGGGTATTAGCGGTGGGTTTTCCACATCAAACTCGACACTGCTTCCCATGGGTATCCCAACACGTGTAACAAGATGACCTCTCCGTCAACGCAACCATGTCAAGTTATTCCAATTATCCCTTCAAGCACAGCCGACTTGCACTCAGCTTCAAAAGACAAACTTTAAATTTTCAAACCCAATTGTTATATTTCTTTCCTAAATCATCAACCACTGTGTTCCGGAATCAGCGACCTGTGTGAAGTGGCTGAAGTTCCATTCTTGATTTCTACTTCAACGAGGTCGACTGAATGTCAAGAAGAAATTCAAACACTTCCACCCCTTAATTCGTTGACCCCACATGCATAAGTATCTTGGAAGTGATATTCGAAGTGAAGCCATAGCTAACTAACTAACTAATTAGCTAAGATGGCTAGACACTACACCCCTTGTAGTGTTGATATCGTGTTCATTTCATAGATGAAGGTATGATTTACACTGGCTTACACATCCAAGGGTGTATTCAACACACACAGAGTGGATCGCGCAGTAATGACATTGCGTGCTTGATACGTATAGGACATGGCAGCTCACATAATGCCATACATCCACGTGAACGAGCTTTATTGTGCGCTTGATCCAGAACCCGGGCCGTTCGTTCTGCCAAATACCTTGTAAACACTACCTTCCATCTGAAGGAGAAGTAAGGACCCTTCAAAGCAACAATGGCATCGAAACCATAGCAACCGTAGGTTGAATTGTGTTAGTGGTTAGTACAGTTAATGAATTGGATTTGACTTAGTTGTTCGTGAAGGCCGCCACGAAAAGCTAACTTGATGCATCATATCCGGGTTTCTTTAAGATTGGCTGTTTTGATGTATGCTCCTGTGTGTTAGCTGACAGTGCACGCTTGACTTGGAGACATCAATTTGTCTTGCTAACACTGGCGCTAAAGGTCTAGGATCTGCGATTTAGGGCTTTCCGTTCACATAAAACTGACATCCCCTGATATAACCGACCGGGAATTTGATATTCTGAGAAATATCTTCCACGGAATGAGTTACGTGAAAAAATGCGTTGTTGCAAAATGTTCGTTTCCTCGTTTAAGAAAAAAAGCATACGTCTAGAAGCAATGGCAAAAGAACCATATTCTCTCCCGCAAAATACTCCCCTGGTTATCCTTCAGGAATATACAATAATCAGCTTCATACTGACATAAATCAAAAACAGCGGTAAACGTGTGTAAACTACATTTGTCAACTACAAGAACTATCAGATACACAGCCTGTGGTTGTTATGACGGATTGACAGGAAAATGATTTTCTTTGTTCTTCTATGATGAATATTCCAATCGGTCTCTCCTCATATCTTGTTCTCGGACAAAGTATTCTCTTGAGGTTATTCGTGTGATTTGTGATAATGCGATGGTGCTTTCCAAATTGATTTCTTGTTTGGCGTCTTACGAACTACTTCACAAGTAGGCGTCCGGCTCAGATATAGCCACAACCGTGAATACAGGCGGGGACGTTCCCATTGAAATCGTTAGGATTAATAGATTTCCGGTTAACGATTCAGTGTAACGGAGTATTAATTCATACCGGTACATGCTTACTGTGATGTCCCGGAATGCGACCTTTCAGGACTAAGGGCACTGTATACAAGTACCAACAGTCGTTCGGGTTACCTCAACTACTGTAACGGCATATGAGGTGTTGTTCCGAATTTGAAACTCCTTCAAATGCGGGTTCCTGTTTTGATGTTGTCTCATTCTGTGTTCTGTCTGATATGACTGATATCGTATGCATTGAAGTGAACCCTAGCACAAGGTAATTCTTAAACTTTAATTCCATTACAACAACATTTGAATATATTTACGGTAGGATCTGGCATTGAAGAAGGAGCATATATACAAATAAAACGGTGATCGAACTGTACACTATGTTAGATTTGAAAAACCAGACATTGTTCGTCGATTAGCCTTGGCTGTTGACCTCAGTTTATGTCATACTGGGCTGGCAGTGACATGCTACAAACATTTCAGTACCACAGGATATCGAGGCGCCTATCAGGAACGTGCCCTCATATGAATCAATGGGATTAGCACGTCTCATGAAGTTCAACTCTTTCCTGGCACCCAATTAAAGTGTTTGGCTAAAAGATAAGTCTGTTATATCCATAGGCCTAAGCCTAAATGCGACCCCGTGTCTTTGAAGTCTCCACTCTGTTCGTTATAACGTTTTCTTTGAATCCTGCGGAGGACTTGTATGAGTCCACATGTCATTATAAGACATGGCAGTCCTATGGGTGCACTTTGATACTCGGCATACGACGACGGTGCCACAGGGATACTTTCGCCCTAAAGTTACGTGTGAAAGATCACGACTCGGGTTCCTTGGGGGCTATTGCATTGAACTCCGTGTGGCTATCGATTCTTAAGGGTGATGAGCAAGCGAATCAGGGGAGCTACTAAAAGGGCGAAATTGACGGGATTCTGATAGGTCCCCTATGGCTGTTTTTCTATGATTCGCTATTCCATGCCCGATTAAGTAGGAAAATGGCTTGTTTTGTAGCATTCTGTTGCTCCAATTTGGCACTGTACATGAGGCAAAGTACTGACACTATAGCATACGATTGTCAATTTCACGGCTTTGGAATAATTGTCATTTAAAAAGCTTTCATGACAGATTTTCTGTTAAGAATTTTAGACAAAAAAGCCATTACAAGACGGTCAGCCGAATCTCGGCCATGTTTTATATCTGGTTCAGTTAAAAACAAAATTGAATTTGAAATTGATTCAATATGCACCATGCACCCATGCTTTTACCATTATTATTTTGTCAAAGTTTCTCTGAAACCTATCAACCTGTCTTTCTCTACTTAAAAGGATTTCACTGATGGAAGAAATCGAGCAGAAATGCGCGGATCAGTTTTATTGTTTTTGAGATCTGTTGCGCGAAGGCCGATTATTAGATTGCAGGTTGATTATACAGAATGACACCCTGCAGCCCCGACGAATTTAGCATCGAAGGATTCCAAAGCGAACTTTCCCCGAACTCAATTTGCGAATAATTCATGAATAATAGAAAACATGGATATTGTCATGCCACCTTCAACGGAATTAGAACCGTAAGAGCTCTCAAAGACAATGGTTGATCATAAGAATGTTTGTATACAGCGTGTGCAAGGCTTGAGCTCTCATGCCTGTGAATAAAATGCCCATTGCAGTAATGGATTTTCTATGGTGCATAAAAACGTTGACTCATCGCAGCTCTACTGTTAACTATATTAGTCCAGCAAAACCTAAAGCCGGCGACAACTATCGTTGCACTAGTTTTAGAATCATGTTTCTTGCTGTCAATCAAAATACACGTCTCCTTTGGAGACTTCGCAGAGAAAGCCGTGGGAATGCACTAGTGGTTTGAATGTAATTTCATCATGTTGACTCACGAACTGAAATAATTAGATGTCTTGGCGATGCCGTCTTTGTTTTCAAGAAGCAGGCGACATTTGTGGCGAGCACCCTGTTTTGATGGAACATACCTCTGCTATAACCATTACACTGTAGTGTCAAGCGGTTTGAAGATACCGGGATTGATATTTCCCTGAGGAAATTCCAACTAAAAGAAATGTTCTCCGGGATCTAGCCTTTGTCATTATCTTTCATCTTTGGAACATTCAATTTGATGATTTTCATCGAAAAATAATATTTCATTGTCGTGTTTGACTACGGGACTGAAAGGCTTGGTGCATCAAACCGCCCTGACGTGAATACCCTGTCTGGTTGAACCCCTGGGGCTTGGCGGGTCGAGGCAAGCCAAACACCATACACCATGCAATTAAAACTACAAAGGGAGTTATCATCGTTATAAAGATTCAAGCTTAAAACCTATTTTGTCATATTCACGGAAATCTATCGACTGCGATCAATGGTCAGGAATGAGCCATGTCAGTTGTTTGTCCAAACTGGACATCGTCAAGTCGATGAGCGGTCAATGGCTTGAATAATACACACGATCACGGGTACACAAAGGGGGCAGTAGCAATAATTTGATCGGCAGTAATACATATCCGAGCTATCCTTCACAGTTTATCAAGCGTCTCGGGGCACTATGATATAATACGAAGCAATGACACTTCTACTGTATCCTTCAGTTCGGCTGTTTTACGCTCACGGTGTACTGGGAGTCTGGCACATACAATAAGGATTACAATCATAGACCTGCCCAGATCGAATTATCAATCTTCAGCAATATCCCCAAGTGATTATGTTCTTGGTAACAGATTTGTGTTTGAAGCATAGTACATGGTCTTAAGGAATCAGCAGAAGCTCTCCCTCAAGGACTATATTGAATCTAAGAACAACCAAGCAAAACAAATTTGTTCTGAATTGATGTTATGTGCCAAACCTTATTCCCCTCTGAATTTCTTTCACGACAAACAAAGCCATCGATCTAAAAGTACAAACCTGCAAAAAGAAATTAAGAACGTTTTTTTGTAAACGATTCCGAGCCCGAACCTCTATCTGTTAGCTGACCTGCAATGGTTATATCCCTAAAGATCCTATAACTGTGAGGCCAATACAACCAAAGCTGTCACGTTTAATTCCCCAGCATGACGTTATGCAGCTCTATCTAACGTCATCGGTTGTACTTAGCTTCAATGGGATCCCTAAACGCCTGTTCAAAAGGCTGAATTATCCGCCTGAACGTTCTAAACGTGATTGTGTCAATAGACGGATTCCGGTCCTATCTTTATATGGCAGCTAAGCGATAGGTCGTGTGCAATACAATAGCTAGACAGATTTAATATCTAAATGCAACCCTTCGTCGTTAGTGTAAAGGCAGCTATCTAAAAACTTTAATACTCGCGTTTATCCGAATTGTATTAATATGGTGGTAGCGTTTCAGTTGTATTGATAAGACTTTGAGCATCGTATTTGTCTGATTTAATATGAAATATGGTTAATCTTCTTTAGGGAACCGCAGCATATTTGTAACCCTGAAAACCCATTGCTGTCATTTTAGCAATTGACGCTGGCGTATTTGACTGTTGTTTGTTTTTTTAGAATCACAATGTGATTGGCTTGCAAAACCGTAATGCCCACTTTGGGGTTTTCATTGTCATCTACAGGTTGGTCGGCATTTCGAAACATTACATAATGCAAGATTGTGGCTGCTTGCATAGTTATTAATATAATTATATTTTAAGCTATGCGACACACGTTTTTTGTAATTATTAGTGGTATACTGTTTTCTGACGAATCATTAAAAGAGAGTGTTTGTCTGTAATTCCTTTTAATTCTATTTATTGATGCTGCTGCACAAATGTCGAGTTTTAGCCGAATTATAATCATCCAATTAATTTGTCTAATTGGTACTCCATTGACGTGGATGGACATTTACAGATAGAGAGCCACCACCTCGTACAAAGACAAACTCCTACCTTTAATTCTGTAAGATCTATTTCAGATATTTAGACGCATTACCATTGCAATTAAATGTTGTTGGAGTCTACTACCGCCCGTGCGTATGTCTAGTCTAGACCAATCACACCTGTGCTGAGACTGTCTAATTGGTGCTGAGGGCAGATATGGTGAAGTACATTTGTAACAGGGTAATTAGGTTATAGAACTAGGTTATACGGGAAAGAAAGACGAAATCTCATGCTCATGCTTGTAATGCCAGATAGAAAACATGGTCCTATTTCAATCGATTTAAAATGATGCGTAAAGCATTGGCATTAATGTATGACGTTCCGTTTTAGGGGCACGGGCCGCCATTCAGCGAAGATGTACGCAGTGATGCATCAGGGGAGACAACCACAAGCGACAGTGGCCGAGGCGGAAGTGAGGAGGATATTCAACTACCGCCACTCCCGGATCTGAAAGGTACTACTACTACTACTACTACTACTACTACTACTACTACTACTACTACTACTACTACTACTACTAATCTCATCCATTTTTTAGTGTGGTTCTTGTGAACGTGTTCGCATTTCTCAGCATAAAAAGGCTAATGAATCGCTGAGTTGCAAAGATTCTAGCTCTATGCCGAATCGTTATTTGAGTAGAAGGACATTTGCAATTAGGTACAACATAACAACATTTGTACATCCGCGTTTAAAAGAATTCCTCATTACCAGTGCGGCGATCGCGTATTCATTATGGAGAAAAATACAAATGGTTACCACAACCAGCAATGAGAATAGTTGTATTTCACAAAACTGACACAACTGCATGTGGTATTTCCTCAAGAAACACTGTGGTTCCACCGTCACGGGGTATAAAGGGATGCTATTTAAGAATTATAAATAGCCTTAAGCCATGTTCTTACTGAAAACTCGTTTATTTTTTCTAGTAACGGAAATCAATGCTGTTTCCGTAGCCCATTTCAAAGACCAGGGAAACGATTAGAAGAAAATAATATTTTGTTAAAAATCGAAAGGTCAGGCTATGGTCCAATTAGTTCTTTCTTCCTCAGTTATAAACCGAGCAACAATAGCCTACAGTCAGGGTTGTATGTGAGTATACATAGAGCAGGAAGTACGTAAATTGTATTATCAAAGTCAATGTTTAGATTAGTGTGTACGCAGTGTCAATATCCAAAGAAGGAACCTATACGAAATGTCGGCTTGTGGTTCCGTTGATCGATCGTTTCTACTGATCGGTTGTTGCCTAGATACCTGATGTATCTCCTATTCAGTCATCTATCACAGGAGACATTAGGACGTATACTCTGGGAGCAATTGGACATTGCAGATGACATTATCTGCAAGACTGGAACCTTCCACGTTACTTATCTATAACAAAGCCGAGATCAAATGATGAATGTATTACTTCTGAGACGTATTGATCGTGTACGAGTGAGTGAGATTAGTTGTACACGTGAATGATATGTGTGTGTTAGTGAGATGTACACGTGAATGAGATATGTGTTCTAGTGAGATGGTCACTTGCATGATATGTGTGCTAGTGCGATCTACACGTGAATGAGATGATTCTGCTATAGTGGAGTGAACACGTGTTTGAAAATGCATATGCGAGATGATGTACGTACACGAGATGTATTGATACGTACACGAGATGTATTGATACGTACGGGAGATGTATTGATACGTACGGGAGATGTATTGATACGTACGGGAGATGTATTGATACGTACGGGAGATGTATTGATACGTACGGGAGATGTATTGATACGTACGGGAGATGTATTGATACGTACACGAGATGTATTGATACGTACACGAGATGTATTGATACGTACGGGAGATGTATTGATACGTACGGGAGATGTATTTCTACTTTCGATTACGACAGATGCACACGGGTATGAGAAGCACATGAGGTAATTATGTATATATTATGTGAGTGCGTGAGTTGGGTTTTACGCCGCTTTTAGCAATATTCCAGCTATTTCCCGGCGGGGAACACCAGAAATGGGCTTCACACATTGTACCCATGTGGATAATCGAACCCGGGTCTTCGAAGTGACGAGCGAACGCTTTAACCACTTGGCTACTCCACCGCCCCATGATTTATAAATACGAAAGCTTGATATATCGAGATGCATGTGTGAATGAGATTCATTATATTTATTGTGTAGTTTTAACACATATACACATGCACTTGGTTGATCAGGACAACAATAGTCCTCACTGACTGTTTCAGCTGATCTGACGTTTACGTTGACGTTAAATTTTGTTGTTTAGTACCTTCGAAAATCATTTTGAAACTAAGTAAGACTATTTGTTCTTTTTGTTACGTTTTTTGCCACATTAGACATTATATTCAAACTGAATGTTTCTGCTTTACTTCAGGATTTAGCGGCAGTCATCAGATATTTTCGGTTGCTATCGACGAAAATGAGGAATTTTCTCCCCAGTCCACCCCGCAAGACATGCCGGAGAAGTCCCGCACTCTCTCAACCTTCTCCAACTCAAATACGGCCAACAAAATATCGTTACCTCCAACGTCATCGTTTCGAGACATCCATTCCATTCAAGATCCTACATTTCGTAATAACCAAAGAAATCAACCAAAAGTTAGATTCAGTACAGACAGTATACCTAACGGGCCGAGATATCAAGGAAACGGAAAACACGGGAAGTTTCCGAAGGAGTTTAACGGAAGAACAAATGTTCCTATCATCAGTAACGGGGAGTACTATACGAAACACGACCAATCCGGATTTTCGCATCTTGGCTCTTACCATAGCCTCCCTCGAAGTGTTGAGGATGACGATAACACGACAACGTCAGGGAGTTACACGTTAAACCCTGATGACTTTGAAGAAGTGTTCTGTGAAAGATGACAATAACTACTGTGAATAGTGACAGTGCCTGAACGAAGTGAAGACAATATACAAGTCATGAGGGCTTAACTGTTAATAAACAGTTTCAATACTGCGATGAACAATACATGCTTATTCAGCATGACCGTATTTCATTCCTGTTGGTATATGTAAATGTATGTGTTCGTATTTTGCAAAAGTTTGTACAAATGTTTTTTATGCATTATTTATTTCGTTAATGTGAAAAAGAGGTGCGTGATAAATATGTCATGTTACTTTGGTGACGTTGCGATCGGCCGTGCGATCGATAAGCGTTCATGCAGGATATCGTTCATGCCAAATATTTGCTCAGATTGTCGTTTTGTTCACTGGAAGTGTTTTGAGGATAATTGTCTCGCTGCGTTAGATTCAACATTCGAATATACTACTCCGTGTCATGGTATGAATAAAAAACTCATCCAGTATGATTGGAAATGGTAGGATTCTATCCTCCTTGGTTGTTTAATATAAACATACCTCTTTTCACTGAGTAATATTCTAAAACATTAATATCAGTGAAATATATTCATTCAAATAGTAATCGCAGCTCCACATCTCATACGTCTCAATTTAAGAAATTGACGAATATGTTATACAATGTAATTGTGTTCAGCATGTAGAACAAGGAAACCCAGCAAACCAATGGTGCTGGTATTCTGCGTCACATACAGTATTTGGGTCAAATAACGGTGTACATTCAGTTAAATCGACATGTTCAGATGCGTTGTGCATTTAAAAAGTGACAAGGCAAATGTTGCATCTACTTTTGTACATTTCATACATGCCGTGTACGGTGACCACACGCTCAAAGTGCCAGTAAACGAACAGATCTTTGCTCCGTGAGTCTACAATATATTTTTCTACTGTTTTTCACTGTGCTTTTTCTGTGTGGACTTCGCTCAGCTTCGTAACCCCGTTTAATGACAATCTCCGAAATGTGTTGCTAAATTGGAATCCTCGTTGTGTTGTATATAAAATGTCCCTCCCCAGCTTTCGACTTGTCTGATCAGTGAAGTGTGACATGTGACAATGAAAATACTGAATCACTAATTAGACGTGATCAATGAAATTGTTTATGATTTGTGATCAATGTAATATATAATTAATTTCATTGTTAGAACAATTATTTGCCGGTCGATATGCTTGGTGAGATACTATTGTTATTGTTATTATAATATTATCCCGAATTGTCGGCAGAACGTTTCAACATTCAGTTTCTGGTTGATTGACAGATATATCTTTCATCGCAATACACCCGTCGTTATAACTTGTATCTTTCAACTGCAATACATACCTCGTTATAACAACATTGATTTCTTTCTCTATAACACCACGACACATTCCCAAACCACTTAATGGAGAGTGGAGAGCCATTCTTACCTTAAAGAACACGATATTCTTTAATGGTTTGTATAATCAATGTATCGATTGTAAGGCTTCTTTTAATGAGGAATTGTGTAATCGTATTTCAGTGATGTACATTTCTCAACGCCTCCATGTTTCTCTCTCCGTCCTCACACCCGCTGGGTTGTTGTAGCTAGGGTTAAGAAATGTTTAGTGCAACTTCCACTTCTTTCGTTTCCTATTGAACAACAACGCCCTAGTTTTCATGTCACCCGCAGGGTTCATTCGTGACCAGTCGTTTCATTCCGGGACAATCCGAATATCGACGTGAACCCTTCTTGTGATAATTGTGCTCGGATTCGTCTCAGCGCAAAATGGTATGAAGATAATTATCGCCGATAAAATTTTATTAATAGCACAGGGATTTTAAAACAAATTCTGGCCATTTTGTGTCACAGGCCGTGTAGCTGCCACTTGGGTATATTTAGTTAAAAAAGAAGGGATTCTATTACTTAAGCACTTGTAGTTTAACATGCATTCAGATTGCTTTGTCGTGTTTTGGTGCCTCTCATCGATCGACTGGGTGTAAGTTTCTTTCAGTTTACGGAAATGGCCGACTGGGGACGTATACTGACGAATTCCTGTACCTCGGATAATGATTTGAATCATACACTCGGTAGTTATAGGCTGACGGAACTAAACCCATCCATTTTTGTAATATGCCAAACGTTTTCACCACACCCTAGTTTCTGACAATATTTTAAAGATGGCGTCTAGAAATGCCATGTTGAAAATGCAAACATACATGTAATATTGTTTTGTCCTTAATTGATATATTGGCTTATTCTAGCGATAGTTTCATATCATGTACTTACAGTTGAATATAGGTTTGACTTTTATCAGTAAATCAGGGAATGTTCGACCCTCAGTAACCCAGAGTGAGATGGGGTTAAAGTCACCTGGAACAATGTACCATTGCGTGTCAGCACGATTTGATGCAGGCCACAGACGCTAACCAGTTTGGTGAAAATCTGTGAGTCTTGAAACCAGAAAACCCGAGTCATAGGATTTGAGCGTGCACAAGGGAGGCAACTCTGCGCAGATGTGGCGCTTGGGCCAGCTGTATGACTGTATGGCTCTACAAGTTGTACACTTAGTGCATGCAGGAGTGACTTTGTGAGTATGCCGAGGTACTGTTCCACGCCCTGCCAGTATTTCAACGATATGAGTTAACATATTACACCAATGTACTGACATCGGCAAACACATGGACTACTGGGCTAACCACTTGGGAGTAATGTATATACCGAGTGAGGAATGTGTGTAGGGGGTGGGAGAGGTCGAACCCAGGTCTCCAGTACAACAGATGATAGCATTAACTATAACAACTAACCTTATGAAACCGTTTCGTCAGCACAACTGGCTGGTACATTTCCCACTAGGCACCCGTAGGAGGACGAGGAGGTGGAATATGCACAATATTTGTTTTCCCTGCTACAACACCGCGATCGCTCTGTGTGACTCTCGATGTGACTCTGTGTGACTCTTGATGTGACTCTATTGCTGACCAGCCCCGACAGTATTCTTGCCTTAATAAACATTTCATCTCTATAAAAGACGTTTTTTTTGTGTTTTTCATGTCATATTCTGGAATATTGAACATCCAGAATGTCTCTGTACATACCCTGATACAAGAGGTCGGTGGAGATCGGACAGCCAATGTCTTCACAAAGGTCAACATCATTGGGTATTCAGAAGACTGATGTAAGGGTTGCTTCCAAAATAGCAGGCTACTCTAGACTGTGTTGCCATGGCAATGCTGAACACGTGTATGCCTCCAAGAAGATAGCAAACATGATGGATGTCTGATGACACCATTGATACTTTGTCCACACCGGGTGTCAGAATAAATGTCTATCTGAAGCATCTTGGTAGATATTAGTTACATTAACATATCTAACATTATTCCTTATAAGAAATGTCGTCACTGTTTAGTTATTAGTGACCACCTGGTGTCATTGTAATGCTACAAAACAGGCCTCGAGGTAGATGTTCATCAGTAATACCTTCATTGCTGCTGACCGAGCTTTGTTTCTTCTGGCCACATGGGCTACTTACAAAAATGAGAATTAACCTCAAAATAATGTAAATAAAGTCCAATATTAACAGGTTATGACATATTTCACTGTTGATATGTAATATGGACTCTCCGTTCTCTGGCATTACTTCATATCACGATGAGGTTGTTGTAGTGTGACTTTGTGTGAACATGTTGGAATTTTCTGGCGCAGTGTGGAGGTATTTATTGGGATATGGAGATACTGGACAGCGCAGAACCCTTCTAATGCACTTATCATTTATAGGTGATGTTGCGACCCGTGTTGAGAGTGTCGAAGGTCTGTGTTTAAGAGCATCAGTTGTAACTGACGCCCACGTTAATACTAGTTCACTATTTACTGTGTGTACAGTGACTTGGTAATCTTCTTCCGAGCGTGTACTGTCTCCAGATAATTGTACAATCCATCCTGGAATTTAATCATTGATTAGTTTTAATCCAGATCTATACAATGAATACATAATGCCATTTAGAAAGTGGTCAAATGTAACATATGTTATATTTGGGATTATACTTTCTAAGTAAAGTACAGAGTCTAGTACTATTGTTCGGTTGAGTCCCATCCGGGATTCGAACCCGCACTCTAAGAGTCAGGCACCTAATCGCCAGCACCTAACGTCAGCAATCTAACCCATTCAACATTAGTCTCCACTCTTTTATCCGATTCACTGTTCTCGAGGAGTATTACTATTAGGAAGTTCCTTGTACAATGTTAACGTTGTGCTAGCCATTAGTTCATCAGGACATCTGTTAATCCGGATTATCTCCCATTTGATGGTTTCGGATTAGTGGCGTTTCTCTGACTGGATGGTCCAGGCAAACTGGTATTGAGATCTGTGTTTAGTTTGTCTGAGCCCCCCGAAACGGAGTTCAACCTAACCAACTCACTCTTATCAAAATTTAATTTACCTTTAGTCACTAGTCACCATTGTTTTATTCAAAAACACTTTTCAAATGAATGTCTCTCCTTAATCCTCAGTGGAAAACGATACAATACTTTTATTGGTTCGTGATTTTGTTATGTTGGTCTGGCAACTGGTTATATTTGATTTCTAAATCTCTCTCCCGAACTCACGACAGTTCGTGGTAGCGGCGTTGTACTCCAGACAGTTACAGCACTTTACGAAAAACGATTGTCTCCATCATTCTTTCGCACCATTAGATTACCAGGCAACATATCGTTCTAATGTATCGGGAAGCGGGTACTCCGGGCTTATTTCGTACACAAGTGGTTTACATCTCTGACATGGACCGTGCCGAGTGCTCTTTACAATTCATTAGCCAGCTATGTCGTGGCCGGGAGTGTGTGGTAACCAAATGTTCATTCAGGCCTTGCCAACCGTCTGTGTAAACGATATTAGTCAGTTTAGTTCTAGACAATCTGTGTAGGTGTTGAGAATTCTTATAGCCTGTCTTCAGGGTCAAATCTATGTCTGCTGCTAGAAGGCTCTATTATAAAATATATAGATATATATTACAGTTACAATGGTACTTCGTGCAGACTCAAGTAAATGTTCTGTTATTGAAAGTAACAAAATATTTGATATTTCATTTCATCAAGGTTGATCGGAATTGCCAAATTAAGAGACAAAACACATAACCGGTGAAGGAGAGACACGGCCTTAAATTGAAAACAGGATGTTGTTGTTTCAAATGGCATCAAGATTGAATAGAGCTGGAAGGGCCCAGAACCATAAAAATTGTGGGTCCTGATCAGAATGTGTAGACCCTATATTTTAAAATGGAAATAATACTCTTAGTTATTGGGGATAAAAAGCTGTCGGCCATAAGAACCTGCAGAAAAACAAAAGCTGTAGGTCCGAGTGGTTTTCAGTCGGCTTCAGGCCTAAGGACCGGCGTTAATTTCGAACGCTGCAGACACCCGACTTTTGATCATTCATGTTGTTTATTTGTTTACTTGAGATGACGATACTCCACCAGGCTGCTCATACCGCCACACTGAAGAGCTCGGCGAACAGCATAGTTTGTAGTTCATAATAAAACATGTTGACTGTTTTAGATATAATAAAGTTACTAGAGTGGAACACGCAATGAAAGCTGTTATTTTGAAAGAAATCACAAACAAAACCCCAAAATAAAATAAAAACAAGACAAAACCAAACACCAAGAACAATCGAAAACCTTGGCATTCTGAAATTACACGCCATGCACGCCAGCACGACTAGTTCTTTGACAGCCATGCGTAAACATAACCAGCGGCACAATTGCATGTTTGGCAAATTCGTCATTAAGAATACTGTTATCCTGCACAAGGTCTTAACCTTACTCAGCACAAACAGCAGGTAGTACATGCGTCGATAACACCACAACCTCATTTTCCCGCCCGCAGCAATGATTTTCCAATAAGGGAAAGAATACCGTTAAGCCTTGTTAACTAAGTTCTTGAACCGTCGAACGTTTCCGCGAGTTCGAAACCATAGTTTTTGTGCAATCATGTCATTTCGCTTACCATATGTCCAGTCAAAGGAGTTCACACTATTCAGCCGTTGTTTTCCAGTAATGTACCTTGACACTTTACGGTACCAGTAATGCACCTTGGCACTTTACGGTACCAGTACTGCACCTTGGCACTTTACTGTACCAGTAATGCACCTTGGCACTTTACGGTACCAGTAATGCACCTTGGCACTTTACGGTACCAGTAATGCACCTTGGCACTTTACGGTACCAGTAATGCACCTTGGCACTTTACGGTACCAGTAATGCACCTTGGCACTTTACGGTACCAGTAATGCACCTTGCCACTTTACGGTACCAGTAATGTACCTTGCACTTTACGGTACCAGTAATGTACCTTGCACTTTACGGTACCAGTAATACACCTTGCACTTTACGGTACCAGTAATACACATTGCACTTTACGGTACCAGTAATACATCTTGGCACTTTACGGTACCAGTAATGCACCTTGGCACTTTACGGTACCAGTAATGCACCTTGCCACTTTACGGTACCAGTAATGTACCTTGCACTTTACGGTACCAGTAATGCACCTTGCCACTTTACGGTACCAGTAATGCACCTTGCCACTTTACGGTACCAGTAATGCACCTTGCCACTTTACGGTACCAGTAATGCACCTTGCTACTTTACTGACCTCACACTGTACGCTTTAGGTCAACATAAGGCGGATCGTTGCTCATAATATGAGTCACAGTGGCATGTTCTTGTTCTCTAGTGTCTGCAGTCATATACAAGCTGACTGAGGTGGGAAACAATGTTCGCTCAGATCAATCTCAAGTTTCTTGTGAGTATGGATAAACGCTTCTTTGCAGTTTCAACTCACTGTGTCAGTATAATTAATTGTAGCAAAGCTCAAGACATGCAGGGGCTCGACGTGAACACTTCTTTCTACCACGACCACGAGTATGGTGCTGAGAGACCATGCATCATAATCGGCGCGAATCAGGGATTTGAACCCATCTATATGACACGTTTGCCGCCGCTCTTCTTACAACGTGTGTGAAAATAGTGCAATGTTTACGACTTTAGCAAATGTCAGAGACGAGTTAGCTCATCATTCAGCCCCTTTTACATAGAATTTCATTTACTGACATATTCATTTTCTAAGTGATATGTTTCAGGCGTCTCGATATATACACTAAGAAACTCTTATCGTATTCCCAAGTCGATATATTTCAAAGATCAGTTTCTTAATGAGTAACCAGATCGCGATAACTCTAGACGGGGCTTGGAGGGACCGAATCACAAACACGATGTATTAGAACGCTCGCAGTACCGCGGGATGGCTTTATCGCATCGATCCGGCGACTTTATATCCTCGAACAACGGAGTTTATTAAAACAAACTACATTATCCATCTGTCATCAACATGAAGCTCACCTGAACACGTAGCGATAGAGCGATACTATGTTGAGGGGGAAAGTAAAGACTTTACCTACACAGCTCGGATTAACACATCCCTTGGCCCATGAACTATATATAGGTTCTATGTTTGTAGTTAGTCCTGTCCATTTAATTAAATCAAAACTGTCCTAGATGATAAAATAGGCGGGGTTTGCTCAATATGAAAACAGTACGAAACTGTTTAAACATAGCTCACAGCCTTTCTTTATGATTTCATTAAAGATATGAAAAACCTTCATAACGGAATTGGGGCGGTGGGGTAGCCTAGTGGTTAAATCATTCGGTCGTCACGCCAAAGACCCGGGTTCGATTCCTTACATGGGTACAGTGTGTGTAAACTCACTCACTCTCTCATAACGGAATTACGACGTCAGGATTAGCATTATGACATCAATAATATTCAAAATCCTTATTAAAAAAATACTATAAGGGTAATACTATTAATAGATTTTAATGAATTTGATTGTAAAGTTCATTTGTGTTGAACTCCCTCATTACAGGTGTGACTGATTAACCAAATAATAACATTTGAGATAGCTTCTATTTACTTTTGAAATAGCTATGATTCATCATGATACTGGTGACTGTGTGTAGGGGGCAACACAAATGGTA